TTTATCGAGCTTTTTAAACTTAGACTGTTCCAAACGGATACCCATCGAGTTGATTATACAATTTATTGTTGATACTTAATTTTCCAAATTGCCCAAATGCTATCGAAATGTCACAATATTAATCAAATAACGCATTGGTTGTCAGAATGGTCAGCTAATATCAAAATTCCAAAAATCATTGTATGTGACCATTCAATGGCATTGTTGGGAGCTATTGCAAGATCATTAGCAGGAGAAATCAACTTAAAATCGTACATAGATAAGTTATTTTCAGTATCAACGTTTCAATCAAATCTAAATCTGAAAACATCCATTCGGATCGATTATGCTCATGTAATGAAATTTTTGAGTAATTGGAAATGTTTTACTGGAAAAGGAACAGCAGTGAAAAAATTCTATCTTACGCTCATGTCCAGACTAATCATGTGTACGTCTTTAAAAACCGCTGAGAGCCTAATTGAAAGTATTTTAATTACATCAAATAGCATATTTGAAGGCCACGATGAAAAAAATAATGAACTTGCAAGWGAAACAGCAAAATTATACTTGAAACAATCAATAGCTGGGATGGATGAAATTTATATAAGTGATAATGATGATGATGATGATAATAACCTGATCTTGTCTCAAGACATTCCTCATGATGAAAATGAAGATGGGTGTTTAAAAACATGGATTGACTCAATAAAAGAAAAATCCATGGTAAATTACGTTGTTTCGTCAACCAATTGTATTTATGAAAAAGATCATTTCCATTATTTACCTGACTTTTCCACTTCGTTGGTCAAATTATTGAGAACATACCCACTATGGTCAACGATAATAATTAAATATTTTAATATTAATAAATTAACTGCATCATCATCTTCTGTAGAAACCTACTTCAACGATTTAAAAAACAGATCTTTTTATAACGACAATCTACCTCTACGTGTTGATAAATTTGTTTGTAAGCACATTAAAGAAATATATGGAATGTTAAAAATAGCAAAACATGACGAAATATTTACAAAAAAAATAGAAATTGCTGATGAGATTGAAACACAAATAACTGAAGCAAATACTGACAAAGATGAAATATTAAAAAAATCAGTAGTATCATCGGAACAATTTTCAGAAGAAATAGGTGTCAAAGTTGAAACTATTGACTTGGAGTACACTGCACCATCAAAAGTCTATGAAAACTGGAAGGGGTTGGGTGAGAAAAAAAAGAAGAGAACATCTTATTATGCTGCACCAAATCCAGAAATTATGCATATCGAACACACAAAAAAAAATTKAAATAGCATTAATCAAAAATGGAAATTTTGAAAATAAAACCAAAACGACAAAATTAAATGGTGAGTCTATAATTTTAACAAACACTTGTCCATATGACTCTATTATTCAAGCTATATCATGTGCATATTGTGATAGCCAAGATTACAGTACCCACATTGATGCTATATTTAATTCTGTAGTTATTTACCGTATTATAAAATATTTAGTTACCGAGGGCTACTCAAAGAGTTTTAAATTAGAACGTGTTGATTTACTTAAGAATATATGCCCATCAGCAACTTTGGTCAATAATATGATTTCAATTAACTGTTCGGGAAATATATCAACAGCATATGAAAAAATATGTGAAGGACTTGAAAGTGTAACAGAATATTATAAATGCAGTGAATGCAATTTTGAATGGAACAATAAAAAAAAAGTAATCTACTTAGTTATACAGAACATCAATGAGTTGGAACGAAAATTAGAAACATATTTTCATGATAATATTAAATGCAGAAATTGTTTTCATCAGAACGAATTATCCGTGGACATTGGGAAACAAATATTTATAGATTGTGATTTAATAAGAGCATCAATTACGGAGTTACCTATCGTCTTAAATT